CCCCACCACCACCACCCGGATTTGTAAGTAAAGTGGCCATTGTCTAGGAATTTGTTTTCCCTGTTGGTCCAAGATAGACCGATTTTTGTTGTCCTATCTATAGAATATGCTGCAACCTTTATACACACATGCTTCTATCAGAAGATACAGAGTCAGTAGGACTAGTCACATGCATAAAGATAAGCTGGTTATGACATCTGGTACCCTTATGTTCACCACTTTTACAAGATCAGCAACTTTTGTACAAACTATGAGGTATCATTGGAAAGTTCAATCTACCGAACACACCTGTTCTGGTAAAATGTGAATGGGGGGGCCACATTGTATACAAAGTTATAAGACTCTGCTGTGGCCATGTCTACACTCACAAGCTTTCAGTGGCAAAGTTGTACCAATACAGCTGTGCAGGAATAAGAGTGCTAGTGTGGCCACATTATGTTGATGGAAGAGAGCTCTCTCATTGATATAATAAAAGCAGCTCAATAAGCTATGTAGCTATGTTGGCAGGAGACTGTCCGCTGCCGACATAGCGCTATACACGAGTGTTTACACTAGCAAACCTTCTGTCATTCAAGCAGGTGTTTTTCCATACCCAAATGACAAAAGTTTTGCTGCCATAAGTGCTACTGTAGACATTGCCTGAGACATACTTCAAGTTTAGAAAAGCAGGCACAAACCAGTTCCTCAGAAAAAAGGCAAACTGATATTTCAGCCAAGTGTCAAGAAAATCAGATGAACTATCACTTGGTTAAGTGGACATTTTTGGCAAAAAGAAGGATGTGAATGAAAAGTTTATGTTTTGAAACTGGAATAGCAGGAAATTCCTGTAAAATCAAACTCTGTTCCCTGAAATGATATTCAAAGAAATAGGAAAAAGAAAAAGAAAAAAAGAAAGAACAGAGGCCACAAAGTATTCTCTCTCACTCTTTACCCAGGCAACCACAACACCTGAGGAACAAAGCAACAGCTTTGAACTGAGGGTGGGGGAGCTCCTGTTTGAAAGGAGTTCAGCCTAGTAACACTACTCTAGTATGTGATTAGAGAAATTTTTGCTTTGAATTTACTTGGCTTGATAAGTTAGGTATTAAGTTTGTTTTACCTTAATTTCCTTGTTACCAGTTCTGATTTTTATTCCTCATTACTTGTAAACACTTAATTTATCTTTCTGTAGTTAAACTTCTTTTATTTAGTTCTAAACCATAATGTGTTTCAACTGAAGTGTTTGGGAAGCTCCATCTGATATAACAAAGCTTGTGCATGTTATTTTTGATTAATAAAATGATGGACTTTCTATGAGCTTCTGTTGTCCAGGAAGTCATTGAGTAATACAAGATGCACGTTTCCTGGTGTCATTCTGCCATATAATTCAGGAGTGGCTAAGTATGAGTACTCATAACTCAGCTGGGAATAATTTACATGCTAGAGGCTATAACTGTCCATCTGTTCAGGTTATACCCTAAGGAATGTCACACAAGTACTCATGTTTAGATAGCATCAGAGAGCTATGAGAACTAAAAATAGGGGGTTTAAGTCCTAAAGTTTTTAAGCAGTTCTTGGTCAAGCAAAAGTCCAATTAATTTAAGTAAATTTGCCTTGGTGAGGACATAAGGCTTGGTTACAGTAGATATACTTTGACTAAACCATGATCCCATCCCTGTCTTGCCCTTTAAAATATACCTTCCCCCCCCCAAAGAAAACCACCCAAAAAAACTCCCCAGGAGTTGTAAGTGGCCATTATCTAAGAATTTGTTTTCCCTGCTGGTCCAAGACAGACCAATTTTTGTTGTCCTATAGAATATGCTGCCACCTTTATAGGATGAAGTTTAAGGACAAACACAAAGTGCTCCACTTAGGAAGAAACACTTAGTTTCACACATACAGAATGGGAAGCAACTGTCTAGGAAGGAGTATGGCAGAAAGGGATCTAAGAGTCATAGTGGAGTACAAGCTAAATATGAGTCAACAGTGTGATGCTGTTGCAAAAAAAGCAAACATGATTCTGGGATGCATTAACAGGAGTGTTATGAGCAAGACATGAGAAGTCACTCTTCTGCTCTACCCTGTGCTGATTAGGCCTCAATTGGAGTATTGTGTCCAGTTCTGGGCACCATATTTCAAGAAAGATGTGGAGAAAATTGGAGAAGGTCCAGGAAGAGCAACAAGAATGATTAAAGGTCTAGAGAACATGAGCTATGAAGGAAGACTAAAGGAATTGGGCTTGTTTGGTTTGGAAAGGAGAAGACAGAGGGGACATGATAGTTGTTTTCAAGTATCTAAAAGGGTGTCACAAGGAAGAGGGAGACAAATTGTTCTCCTTAGCCTCTGAGATAGGACAAGCAACAATGGGCTTAAACTGCAGCAAGGGAGGTTTAGGTTGAACATTAAGAAAAACTTCCTAACTGTTAGGGTGATTAAATTGCCTAGGGAGATTATGGAATCTCCATCACTGGAGCTTTTAAGAGCAGGATAGATTGACATCTGTCAGGAATGGTCTAGATGGTGCTTGGTCCTGCCATGAAGTCAGGGAACTGGACTTGATGACCTCTCAAGCTCCTTCCAGTTCTAATGTTCTAGGATTCTAAATGCCAATTTGGAAGCATTCATATGATATGAATGAGTAAAACTGTTTGTGGTGGTACAATAACATACAGCCTAAATAGCTGCTTTACAACAAAAATACACAAACAGCCAGTTTATGGTTCAGATTGTAAATCTCCATTTTTAATTTAGACTTTTCAGAAGATGTTCTGCATCGTTGTAATGGTCACAAAAGGTTCTTGGCTGTCACTACTGAGGAGTTTTCTTCTCTTCTATAGAATTGTAATGCATACAACAGTAATGGCCCCTCTATACACAGTTGTGCTGATTTTAAAAATGAAATGTTAACACCTATTCATTAGGTGGTATGAAGTTCTCAGTTTATACAGAATACAGAACAAGTATGACTTTGCGTGTACGGACATCTATAAAAAGTACTTCTAAAAAAACCCAATAGTCTGCTTGATAATTATTTGTACTGCCATATCATTAAGGGGCTCTAGTTATAGATCAGAATCATTTAGACACAAATAAAACAGTAAAACCAACTTTTTTTGTCACATTCGCTTTATATGCAGTCCCAATACAGGTAAAAAAGAAGTCACCCTTCATTCAGCTCAATAAACTTCAGACCGTTGCTAAGCTATAAAAATCCATCTATAAAAGGGGATTTTTTTTTTTTTTTTTTTGCAGAACAACAAAAAGCTCCTGATGAATGCCTGTCACAATGAAACATCTCAACATTCCTGCAGCTGTGCTCCTGGTTAACCACTTTACAAAAAATTTTTATACGTAGGTGGTAAACACAACTTTAGAAAACAAGGTTTCCAAAAGGCATGAAGTTCAGATTAGCTTTCAGAAATCTGATATTTTTCACTTTTCCCTCTACAATGTATTACAAAAGTTGCATGTTTTAAATTAGATCCGCCAGCTGCAGTAAATTGTTTGTTACCAACAGTTCCAATTAAATTCACAAAAGTATATCAAGCATGAATATATAATTTTGGCTAAATATACACATACTATGCTTGTCACAACATATATTCTGCAAATGCATAAACCAGAAAACCAGTACAAAAATGGAGATAAAAAGTTAACATTTAAGAATCTAACGACCTTTTTATTCTTCAGTTTCACACATTAGAAGATATTCTTTCACTAGGATCTCATCAGAAATAAATACATCACAGGCTACGTCTGCATAACTACTCCAAAGCAGATGCACTAATGCAGCATGTTTGCTGAAAACATGCTATGCCAATGTCAGAATGCCCTAACATTCGCACAATTACTCCACCTTGGTTGGTATGGACAGTACAAAATGTGTAATTTGGGAGGGGAGGGTTGTTTTTTTTTTTTTTAAACCATAGACCTGAGTGATGTAGGTTACATCAAGTAAGGCTATTGTGTAGGCCTACCTTTAGAGTACAAAGACAAGATTTTTTTTTAAACCGTTGAAGAAAATCCACAAAATATCTGTCAGGAATTAACTGATGCTCTCCTTCCCTAATTAAAACTGAAGACAAAAATTCTGATAACAAATCTACATGAATAGACTTCTGCCTGTATAGATTACCTCAGGTTGGCAGCTTGAAAAAAAAAGGGTTATATCAGACAGAGATAAGATTTAATTTAGAGAGTTAGCTGTCTAGTTCTAAACTTTTAGGCTGAGGTATGTAAGTTTGCACAACATTAATTGAAAGTTTCCTAACTTTTGCACCATTAAATCTTTTACAATAATAGATATTGAGCCTGCAAAAGAATTGGTGTATACCTTGGCTGTGTCTACACTGGGCCACTTATTCCGGAAAATCAGCCGCTTTTCCGGAATAAGCTGCGAGCTGTCTACAATGGCCCTTGAATTTCCGGAAAAGCAACGATGCTCTACTGTACAAAATCAGCCGCTATTCCGGAAAAACTATTCTGCTCCCGCTCGGGCATAAGTCCTTATTCCAGAACACTGTTCCGGAAAAGGGCCAGTGTAGACAGCCCACTAGTCTTTTCCGGAAAAAAGCCCCGATCGCGAAAATGGCGATCGGGGCTCTTTTCCGGAAAAGTGCATCTACATTGGCCACAGACGCTTTTCCGGAAAGGGCTTTTCCGGAAAAGCAGCCTTCCAATGTAGACGCTCCTTTTCCAGAAAAACTGAAAACGGAATAGTATTCCGTTTTAAGCATTTCCGGAAATTCATGCCAGTGTAGACACAGCCCTTATGTCTGTGTGGAGTGCCATTTAAGTCAGATACACTGCATACATGTAAGGATCCCTACTGGTGATTCATTTGCAGGACTAGGCTCATAATTATTTGTGGTTTCTGAAGAAAGAACATGAAATGCTGAAAGTGGTGTTTTAAGTTAGATTGCTCCCTCCCTTTTTCTTTTTATAAAGACTCAGAGCATCTTGTACTATCTACAAATGATAAATAGAACCGACAAACAGTGCTAGAATAGTCTCAATGTCTCATCTCCACTTTTTTTCATGCCGCATCAATGAAAACTGCAAATAAGACACAGCAACTGTAGAGCTTTCTCAATTAGACCAGCAGATCTACACATACTACCTTTTTGAGTGCAAATATAGAGGTGAAATTCCTGGATGGCTTTTTATCATATTTACTTACCTCTGACATATCATGTACCAGTAGAAGAGGGATGCTAATTGTAGTAATATCATGTGTACAGCAAACTTTAAGAATATTTCTGAGGCCCATGATCGCAGGATCCCGAGCAGTAATATTACCAGACCGTACATTATCATCCACACACAGATGAAAAGCAACATGAATTTCAGAAAGATTTGAATGGCGTGTGATGTAAAATTCTCCTGCAGAATAATGAAAGACCATGTAATCTCTCTGATGCTAGTAATCTGTGCTAAACACAAACAAACAACAAAGCATGCTGGGAATGACAGTGTAAATGTTTTAATACCAAAATGTGGGGCATAATGCTCCTTTATTAAATATAATCAATTGCTGTATCTTCCTTACTGTTATTTTAAAAATACAAGGCAAAATGTGCCCATTTAACCTAGATCAGAACTTATAAATAAGAAAAGCCACTAACAGATGTAAAAACCTGGAGAACAGTGACGCCCATTCCCTGTTCACATTGTCCCAAGACTTATTTCCATGCCTTACCACTGTATTTAGTTGCCATCACAGAGATCTAGCGTAATAAGGCATGCCAGTGCCAATACAGACAGATACAATCTATATGTGGTAGAAAACGTCAGCGGAGGAAAAAAATAAAGAGGAGGTGTAACAGTGAAAACATATACGCAAGCAGTGAAGTGCAGACAGATGTGGGAGGCGGAAATAGCCAAAATGGATAGGTTAAAATAAAGGCTACAAAAAGCCTGTGGGAAAGGATAGTGGGTTATCTAACTGAGGAATGTACAGGAAGATGAAGATGATTATCAGAGCGCAATCAAAATTAAAGTGTGTAGTAATGGGGGATTTTAAATATTGAGATTTCTTTTAAAAGTGCCTAAAACAGTATGTCAAAAGGTATTTTTAAATGAGGTGGAACAATATTTTAAACTCAAAAGTGGATGAAGTAATGAAGGGCAATGGAATTTTGGATCTGAATTAGCCGACAAAAGTAACAGATATGAAGCTCTGAGGAAATCTGGGGGACAGCTACCACAAATTAAGATGCCAATCCAACAAATAGATCCACTTGAGCATAGTCACACTGAAGTTAAGGGACATTTCAGAAGAGAATCTTGTTGCAGGACTGGGATTTGATTATAAAGATGCAATAAATAAATAAATTAATGGAGATTGCCTATCTCCTAGAACTGGAAGGGACCTTGAAGGGTCATCAAATCCAGTCCCCTGCCTTCACAGCAGGACCAAGTACCATCCCTGACACATTTTTGCCCCAAATTGCCTCCACAAGGATTGAACTCATAACCCTGGGTTTAGCAGGCCAATGCTCAAATCACTGAGCTATTCCTGCCCCCGTAATATAGAAACAGCCTCATCAGGACATGGATTTTCATGAACAAATACTTTTGAAATAATATTGTAGGCAATGTAAAAGCAGCTAGCACACCAGATAGAAAATGGAGAGAGGGGGAAAAAAAGTTCTTGATGTTACTCTTGTAGCACCACTCACACAAAATACAAATATTTTTAGAAGAGGCTGAAAGAAATGTACATGAACAAACTGGAATACAAGAGTGAAAAAAGGGATAATAGGAAAGGCAGTAGGTGTGTCTATTTCTGTGTATTGTGTCAAAAAATGCAGATATAAAGGAGGAAAAAGGAAAGAATGCTTGTGATACGAGGTGGCAAGGGAAACAAAGTTTTTAGTTGGGCCTTTTCGTTCTGATAGGCTAATTTCAACACTGCTATATAAAATGGAGGGAGAAATGCTATTCTCTCTATGGGGCTGACCTGTACACGTTTGTACATTCATTTAATTGCACTGGTTTAGAAACAGCAACAGTGAAATCAGTGCAACCACCACATTCCCTGCATGGACCCTTTTACATCAATTTGAATGTATTTTAACATAAGATTGATGTTAAAAAAAAATTTAAAAAAAAAAGTGTCCACATTAGGGATTGTTCTGATTTAACTAAATCTGTTTGTAAGCAGTGCACAAGTTGTGTGTAGATGTTCCAATTATTTCTACGGAATTTGTTCTTACTAATGGGACAACACACACACAGAAACAATAAGAGATATTTCCTCCTGAAGTGTCTGGTTCAATACAGTATTGAAGTATCTTCTTAAGATGATGCATAAAACTAATCCTACTGACTTGACCCGAAGGTCTTAGAGATGGCACAAAAATCCTTCTGCTGGAACGAGGAAGTCCTAGATAATTGTCATTGGCACTAACAAGGAACTGAAGGGATGGTGGGTCAGCAGGGATCAGTAATGGGTACTATATGAAGGCACAATTTCAGGAGACACCCAGACTGACCACAAGCATGCTACTAGCAGAAAAATCTTCTGATAATATTAAAAGATAACTGTTTCCTGAAAATATTTCAGTGCTCCTTTAAATACTGTAAGGTGGATTGTTTTTTATCTGGAAAAAAAAAAATCTTAGGCAGAATGGTTAAGTGACTTCCAAAAGTCACATGGCAAGTCAGCGGCAAAGTTGGGAATAGAATCCAGATGTCCCGACACCCAGACCTGTGCCACAGCCATATAAGAACATCCGTTGTCTCAAATTCATGGCAAGTTCTGATTAGTTTCAGACACATGCTCAGAATTTAGAACTAACAAAATATGTATCTATAAAGTTCAGTATGCTTAAAAACCCCAACAAATGAAAATCCCCCTAATAGTACTCACCAGGCAAAATATTTGATTGATTTCGTTCAATGTTCTTGGACATATCTTCATTTCCACCATTTCTGTTTACTGAATCTGTATGTAAAGTAACCATTAAATATATTGTATATAAGCTATTTATTATATTAGTCTTGGTAAACTAACATTGAATATTTTAAGAATTTCAGAGGGCTTCGGATCAACTCCTAAATTAACATGAATATTTTAATGGACCTCAGTAAGCTTTGAATCAGGTTCTAAATGTAAAATCTTCTCTTTGACTCAGCTTTCACACAGCAGTCCTTTATTTAGGCATACTCCAAAAACTCAAAATACAATAGAAAGAGAAATCTATAAACTTTTTATACCTGCCAGACTTGGAAGGAAGGAAGATGATCATTTCATTGTACTTGAAAGGGTAACAGGTACTATCATGGTGAGGCCATACAGTCATTTTAGGCCAGTGGTTCTCAACTCAAGGCCCATCTGTGGCCCAATCTGCACACAGTGGTGGCTCATGTGACATCCTCAGGGCCATACATGTAGTATGGACACTGTGCAGGTGTGGCCCCCATAACACAGAGCTGCACATTTGGCCCAGAATGGTAAATAGCTTGAGAACCACTGCTCTAAGTTCCTAAAGATGCCCTCTCCTCCCTTTGTCTCCTAATTTTCATTTATTTCTTTGGTCTTAACTCTCTTAAGTCACATTAGGGTCTTATAGATAAAAGGAGAGCAATAACTCAATTTAAAAAAAAATTGCAAACAAATGTTTATGGAAACCCATTAATATATAACAATTCACTATTAATTTTATACAAAAAGAGTTTAATACAAATTTTAAAATACAATGATTTACTAAATGAAATAAGCTACTTCTTTGTGTCCCATGGAGAGTTGTGGAGATGTTCACATAAAACCGGAAGTGAAGAAAATACAACTATTTTCATAAGACTATTACAACATGCTGGTTCCTAAAGGAAAATAGTTTCTCTATATACTTTGTGAGCCTACTCATGTTACTGACTCATTTAAACCACATAAGTACTTGTTTGCATGAATACAAAAAGTATGAGTACTGCCTCAACAGCATGTGGTTGAAGACTTCCTGTCATTTTGTGCAATCTCTTAGCCACTTGTAAATACAAAGTAGAGAGGTGAATGAGGCACTTCTCCCTGGCCCTTATGTCATTCATCATATTTTCTTTACTACCCAGTGACCTTGAGGGAAAAAATGTAACTCCCTCCACACTACTGAAAGTCTTAAATCTTGATAGAAAATTAAAAAACAAACGAACACCACACACACCTAAAATGTGTCCACATCTATTGTCAGGGTTTAAACTGAAGAGGGAAAAAGTACGGCACATGCCACAATATTTTTCAAGCTGCCACCTTTGGCATCAGAATCTCAAGATTTTTTTTAAGTCCATCTTTTTCTGTTAACTGATGCCACATCGTGTGCCCAAGTTTACAGACTAGAACATTAGCTCTAAAGGGGTGAATTTCCCCAATCATCACATACACTATGTCTACACTGCTTTCCTTCCCCCCCCCCCGCAGAAAAACAAATTCAAATGAAGTTAAGCGTGGAATATCGCCGCACTTCATTTGCATAATTAATGAGCCTCTGTTTTTGCGCAAAAGCGGACCCTCATTAAATATGCAAATGAAGTGTGGCGATATTCCACGCTTGCTTCATTTGCATTTGTTTTTCCACAAGAGAGGGGCAATGTAGACATAACCATAGGGTATTAAGTCAATTGTTGGTGCAATTCAGGTATAACTAATACCTCATTTTGGCCTAAAAATGTGGAGATACTGCCACTTGACTAGAGGGGAGAAAAAGAAGATACAGTCAAAGCATGCACCAGAACCTAACTGTGCATATGAACAACACAGAGATAACTAAGCCCAGAAGGACGTGCACAATCATATTTCAATTATCTGCCCAATCTACCCTTAAATGGCTTCTCAAATGGCAGCCTTTGTGGGAGGACATTGGAAGAGTATCTGTATTTTTTTCTTTTAAAAATTTTACGCTGGCTATAGAGGGTTAGTGAAAAATACCATAACAATTAGGGCACATCTAAACTACATTCCTCTTTCGAATGAGGAATGTAAATGAGCCCAATTGAAAATTCAAATGAAGCATGGATTTACAAATCTCGCGCTTCATTTGCATAATCGCATGAGCGCGCTTTTCCGAGAAAGGGTTTTTCAAAAAAGAAACCGCAATCTAGATGGAGTTCTTTCGAAAAAAACCAAACCAAAACCCCTTTTTCAAAAGAACCCGTACTCCTCATTTTTTCAGGAGTACGGGTTCTTTCAAAAAGGCCCCCTCACCCCCCAAAAAAGCGCGCTCACGCAATTATGCAAATGAAGCGTGAGATCTGTAAATCCGCACTTCATTTAAATTTTTGATAGGGCTCATTTAAATTCTTCTTTCAGAAGAGGAATGTAGTTTAGACATAGCCTTAGCTATTACAGGCAGTCCCCGGGTTACGTACAAGATAGGGACTGTAGGTTTGTTCTTAAGTTGAATCTGTATGTAAGTCGGAACTGGCGTCCAGATTCAGCCGCTGCTGAAACTGACCGCCAGTTCTGACTTACATA